TCTCTCTCTCTGTCTCTCTCTCTGTCTCATTGTGTCATACGGATTACTGTTAATTTATTATGCTGATCTGTTCTGTACGACATCTATTGCACGTCTGTCCGTCCTGGAAGAGGGATCCCTCCTCAGTTGCTCTTCCTGAGGTTTCTACCGTTTTTTTCCCCGTTAAAGGGTTTTTTTGGGGAGTTTTTCCTGATCAGCTGTGAGGGTCATAAGGACAGAGGGATGTCGTATGCTGTAAAGCCCTGTGAGGCAAATTGTGATTTGTGATATTGGGCTTTATAAATAAAATTGAATTGAACTGAAATACAGGAAGTCAGAAATCAAGTACAGGAAGTAATAAGTCAACTAGAGGAAGTCAGAAATCAAGTACAGGAAGTAGTATCAGTAGTATTTATAATATTTACCCATCCTTGAGGAACACTGAGAGAACTTCTCGCAGGTCGAGGACGTCACATGCAGCTGAATCATTTTCTAATGAGAAGAGGAAACGATCGTCCTCCAGTTTACCATGAAGCTCCTCCTCTTCCTCACCTGCACACACAGGTATCACACACACACACACACACAGTGAACAGAATGACTTCATCAGATCTACGGTGGCCTTTTGGTCTCATTTTCCTGAAGTCTGTTCATCATCATGTTTCACTCCTGCAGTCACTTTTAATCTGTGTGTTCCATCCTACCTGAGGGGGCGGAGTCAGCTCTCCTATTGGCTGACTGTGGCAGGTACGGCGGGATGTCTGAATGAAAATAAAAGTAGATAAATAAACCACCAGTGACATCACAGGGCACTGAGTCTGACATCACTGCAGCCAGGTGAGATGGTTCACCACAGGAGGTCAGCAGAGACCAGATTTACATAGAGCTGTTACCTGTGTGTGTGTGTGTGTGTATGTGTGTGCGTGTGTGCGTGTGCTACCTGTGTACTCGTTGAGGCGGAGCAGCTCAGTTTGCAGAGCCTTCCCAGCCCTCTCGGCCAGCAGGATGGGGGAGGGGCTCTGAGGGTCTGACTGACACACCTGCACACAGGTAACATCACCTGTCACACTTCTCTCAGTGATGTCACACCAGGTGTTCTCTACCTGACTGAAAACACGTTCCACATGCTAACTAAAGCTAACAATGCTAATGCTAACAGCACTAAGACACAGTAACTGGGTTTCCATCCAAATGTATCGCAAATTTTACGCAAATTTTGTGAAAATGTGCAAAAGAAAATGCGAATTTATGCACATCTTCATTCATTATTGTTTTGCGAGTATTGGGAGTCAACAGGTCGAGCAGAAGGTGCCGCTTCTCGTCAAAAATAAAAATAAAAATGCAAAAGAACACCCGTAGCAGAAGAGGGCGCCGTGAGATGATGTCATTGAGAGCGTCTCATGTCCACAACTGATGTAAACAATTACCGGCACATCCATGACTACGACGAGATGGAGAGATTCCTTGGGAACTTCTTGGCTATTGCGAGTGCTCTCATTACACTCATATCAGCGTTGTCAGCGTAGCCTACATAATGCTGTTATGTCTGTTTTGTTACACCAGGCAGCGCACATGATGCAGCGGTATTCAACACGTCCAGTCTATTCAGGTAAGTTGTGAAATACACTCACTTGACACTGGAGTAATTACCTCTCTCAGTTCACACAGGTGTGTGTGTGAAGTAGAAGTAGGATTTGGGAGCCTACGTCATTGTTTATTCACTAAATCTGTTTCCATTGCCAAAAGTCGCATTTTCCTAATATTGACACGCTGACTTTTCCACCCCCTCCAAGCGTAAAAACCTTTTTGCGATATTTTGGCCTTTTTTTCTCAGTTGTTGGAAATGCAAATGAAAACAGGTGGATGGAAAGCAGACTAGAGTCACGTTGGTGCAGTCACCATGACAAGAGAAACACATCAGTTATTTCATGGATCCTGATTGGCTGCTGAGACGTGACTCTTATTGTATCACTCCCCAAACAATGAAACACTTCAACTTCCTGTTGTAACAAAAAAAACGACCTCCTGAGGAGTCGTTCAGAAAAACATCAAATACTGAACAACAGAGACACAAACAGGAAACTGGGACTGATGTAAATATCTATATTTACATTTATCTTTTCAGGTAAACTTCATGTGTGATGTCATCTGTGTGATGTCATTAAACATGAAATAAAAACACTGAAAACATATTTACAGCCATATGTGTCAAATTATTATTATGACACCTGTGTGTGTGTGTGTGTGTGTGTGTGTGAGATCAATCATTAATGACTTATTATGGTTCATGAAGGACCAAAGTCTGAGACCATCAGACCTTTGCTCCGGAGCAGATCAGAGACATCGTCTCCTCCACGTCGTCTCCACATACCACCTGACGCAGCCTCTGAAACACACACACACACACACCATCATCACCATCACACACGTCCAGGTGATGTTTGTATCGACTCATCTACAGCTGATCATGTTAAACAAACATGTTACATCCTGTGTGACTGTCAGAGGTCGTACGTATCAGACTCTACCCAACCTGACATCTGTTACCACTGTAACGAGTCTACAAGTGTGAACGGAGTCAGACCTGATCCATCAGAGAGTGTGAAGAGGCCAGAGCGTGGACTCGTCTGTAGCGCCCCCTGCTGTATTTGTCCTGGATGAACCTGAACCTCTCCTCGTCAGACGACTCGGGAAGCAGCTGCTCCGCAGCCGGTACCGCTGGAGCCCACATCTGATTGGCCAGCCGGTTACCATAGGTAACAAACAGCTGGGAGGGGAACAGGTTAAAAGTCAGACATGCCACCTGTACAAGTGGCTCAGCCCCCCACACTTGTATGAGTGGTTCAGTCCCCCCCCCACTTGTATGAGTGGCTCAGTCCCCCCCTCACCTGTACAAGTGGCTCAGTCCCCCCCCCCTTGTGTGAGTGGTTCAGTCCCCACCTCACCTGTATGAGTGGTTCACCCCCCCTCCACTTGTATGAGTGGTTTAGTCCCCCCCTCACCTGTACAAGTGGTTCAGTCCCCCCCTCACCTGTACAAGTGGTTCAGTCCCCCCCTCACCTGTATGAGTGGTTCAGTCCAGACCTTGTTGTCCATCTTCAGACTGCGTACCTTGGACAGGTTGGTGCCCAGAGCTCGATGCTGACCTGAGAACAGACCCCTTTTAGCAATATTATCATTCTGCATTAAAACTAATGTATCTGTTAGCAACATTAGCATTCTGTATTTAAACCAATACACCTGCTAGCAACATTAGCATTAAACACAGTTGTGTTGGACACCTGTCCTCAGGTAGTTCAGGTGACTGCTCATCTAAATAATCTGAGTCGTTATCTGAGTCATCATCTGAGTCGTCGTCTGAGTTGTCTGAGTCATCTGAGTCATCGTCTGAGTCATCTGAGTCATCGTCTGAGTCGTCTGAGTCATCTGAGTCGTCGTCTGAGTCATCTGAGTCATCGTCTGAGTCGTCTGAGTCATCTGAGTCATCGTCTGAGTCGTCTGAGTCATCGTCTGAGTCATCTGAGTCATCGTCTGAGTCGTCTGAGTCATCTGAGTCATCGTCTGAGTCATCGTCTGAGTCTTCGTCTGAGTCGTCGTCTGAGTCATCGTCTGAGTCATCTGAGTCATCGTCTGAGTCGTCGTCTGAGTTATCTGAGTCATCATCTGAGTCGCCGTCTGAGTCATTGTCTGAGTCATCTGAGTCATTGTCTGAGTCATTGTCTGAGTCGTCTGAGTCATCGTCTGAGTCGTTGTCTGAGTCATCGTCTGAGTCATTGTCTGAGTCATTGTCTGAGTCATTGTCTGAGTCGTCTGAGTCATCATCTGAGTCGTCATCTGAGTCATCGTCTGAGTCATCTGAGTCGTCATCTGAGTCAACGTCTGAGTCATCTGGGTCATTGTCTGAGTCGTGTGAGTCATCGTCTGAGTCGACCTGGTTTGACACCAGCAGTCATGTCCAAGTCCAGGTCCAGGTGTGTTGTACACGTGATTAGCCTTCGTTAGCTCGTACCTGCACAGGCCTGACAGATGACCAGCAGCAGGTTGACCGACGCCCACTCAGGATTGGCTGAGCCACAGTCACCGCACACCTTGTTGTCGGGGTTTTCCCAGAGACGCAGCGCCACCTGGCTGCTGGACAGAGCGCTGCGGATAGATGAAGACAGACTGTCCAACCACATGGACAGGTCCTTTGACGAATCAACAGACAGGCTGCAGGCAGGGGGCGGGGCCAAGGGGAGACAAGAGGAGACAGGGGGCGGGAAGAACACAAGAAAGAACGTTACACAGGTAGAGACAGACAGGTGGAGACAGACAGGTGGAGACAGACAGGTGGAGATGGACGGTTGTACTTGAAGCTTCTGTGGGGTGGGATGAGGGTAAAGAAGTGTTTTCCTGTAGGTCTGACCATAGAGAGACAGACAGGTGGAGACAGAGACAGAGACAGAGATACAAGGACAGGGAGACAGAGACAGACACAGACACAGACAGTGACAGACAGACAGACAGACAGAGACAGAGACAGACAGACAGAGCCAGACAGACATAGACAGATAAGGACAGACAAGAACAGAGACAGACAGACAGACAGACAGAGACACAGATAGAGACAGACAGGGACAGAGACAGGTGGAGACAGACAGGTGCATACTTGAAGCTCCTGTATGGCGTGATGAGGGTGAAGGAGTGTTTTCCTGTGGGTTTGACCGTGGCCACGTTCAGGGGGACGGAGAAGGAGGCGAGACCCAGCTGGAAGCCTTCCTTGCTGGGGTAAATCCAGAGGTCGTGACCCCACAGGGCGGCGTAGGCGCGGCTCCGCGGGTCCTTGATGGTGATTTGTCCATGGAGTTCTGGGGGGGCGGGGCTTGGCTGCCCTCGAGATGCTAGCAGAGACGTGACCCAACCTTCATGGACCTCTGAGAGACGAGAAAACCAAGAAGAATAATCAGTACAAAACAGATTCAGCCTGGAGACTGTTTGTCCCTCAACGTCCCTCGACATCTTCCTGCAGATAACCTCCGTCCTGCTCATTCAGCACGCAGCCACCATTTTTTACTGATCCTGGTACAGTTGGACGCAGCTGATGACCCGTAGCTGAACATATAAATGAGCGTACCCACAAACACCTGTTCTCATTCTGAAGTCATCAAACACTTTGTCAGTGATTTTGGAGTCAGACACCTGACCGCTGTAACGCCACCTTTAGCGGTGGTATGTGCTGCCAGGCGGTGTCAGTTGTTAACACGGTTGGATGGTGTTATGATACGCCGCCGGTTGGCTGGACGGCGCCTGTTGCACCCTGGAACCCTGGACTATGACCTTGGATGTTTTTTTTTAAACCAGGTGATTTGTTGATGTCCCCTCTCAGAATGTCACCAGGAGACACAGGACGATACCTTGGGTGTAATATGTAGACGTGAAAGTCCCCTGACAAAGCGTCCATATGTGACGAGATGAGAACACGTTGGGCTTTTCTCTGACACGTTAAAGGAGAGGTCTGGTATTTTGCACTTTGAGCTCCATTGCTGGGTTGTTTATGATAAAATAGAGTGGCTAAGACCAAAATAGTGATGATTGGTCCTTCTCAGATAATATGTCTTTCCCCAGCCTGGCTTATCACTGCTGCCTATGGCCATGTGTGAACCTGTCCTCAAACCACCCTAAACATTCGTTTCCAAAGCCATGAAACTCACCGAGTGCTCAGTGGTGTTCGCTAATATTCTGACATAAAAATCGTAGCAAACTCTGGTTTCCATCCGTGTTTTCGCTGTTCATCTCTATTGTGGAGCTATATTTTCAGCTGCCTCACACCCATGGGTAAACTTCCACTTGATCATTCGTTTGACCCTGAAGCATTATACACTCCAGCCCACTTGATGGCGATAATGCTCCTTTACGTGGGTGTCGCCAACTGGCAGGAAACCATTGCAATGTAATGGGACACAGAAAACAAGAAGGTTGGCGTTGTGTTTCAAGGCATCATACTGTGAAGGTCGTTTACAAGAGAGTAATAATGGGCAAGTTTTGTGTAGTCAGTGACTGTGGGAGAATTCCTCCGAAGAGGAGCTGTCATTGACCTCCCTTCCTCCAGGACCGCACACAGCTCTGTCGAGTCGGCACTTTCGGTGAGCTAAAAGACTACAATGACTACAGCCTTGTTGTAAACAACCCCCTTTACGTTTCCGATAATGAGGCTTCTATAGAAAACCAATAGGGTAGACAAAATGTCAAATAAATCATCACAAAAACCAAAGTTTGCTACGATTTTTATGCCAGAACATCAGCGAACACCACTGAGCACTCTGTGAGTTTCATGGCTTTGGAAACGAATGTTTAGGGTGGTTTGAGGACAGGTTCACACATGGCCATAGGCAGCAGTGATAAGCCAGGCTGGGGAAAGACAAATTCTCTGAAAATGAGCAATTGTCACTGTTTTGGTCTTAGCCACTCTATTTCATCATAAACAACCCAGAAATTGGGCTCAAAGTGCAAAATACCAGACTTCTCCTTTAAAAGGTGTTCAATAAGTAAGAATGTGCACCTGTCACACGTATGTACGTGTGACAGGTGCGTAGGTATCAGCTGAGATATCTACAGTGATATGAAGGTAAATATTACATCTCAGGTGAGACATGACCATATGATAAAACATTGCTTTTAGGTTGTTTGATGGTGTTATTATTTCTGCTGCATAGACTCAGTTTTATTTTCGGATGCAGCGTGAACGGCGGTGGTGGTGACAGCAGTGATGATCTCACCGTCATTATGAGCCATGAAGTCATAATGTTTCTTCTTGAAGTAAATGGAGAATCTGCCTTTGTCCTGTTTCTTCACATTGGTGATACTGGAGACGTGAAAGAGCAGCTCACTGAAGCGGTCCTGATCAAAGAAACAAACACACCCATCACTGACAGGAAGACAGACAGGTATGTATCCACAGACAGACAGACAGACAGACAGACACTTACTGTGCGTTTTTTCCACAGAGACATCAGCTGTCCGTCCAAAGTCACCCATAAAACACTGTGTCTGTGAGACAAAGAGAGAAGACATGTCTGTTTATCTTTGTCTCTATCTGCCTCCGTCCATCCATCTGTCCTGATGAACAGCTGTTGGTCTGGTGTCCCTCAGGGGTCAGTTCTGCATCTCCTGTTGTTTTACATTTAAATGATCACCTGACCGGTCTGATGCAGCTTCACTAACACACTGTTACTGATGGACTCAACTTAATGTCTCTGTGAATACTGCAGCACCAGAGTCTGAGGGACAGATCACTGAGGTTTGTTATTAAAGTCTTAAAATGACCCTAAATTCATCTTAAAAAGATTCTTTCAGAATCAAACCCACAGTAAAATGTACACACATGGTCTCATCTGAAAGGAAACACTGTGGTTTCTCCCAACACTCAGAATCTCTGTCGAAGCTTCCGTTACTGAGTCAGACATGTTTAATAAAAAGGTTTTTATCTGAATGTTCTCTTGAACAAAGCTGCTGCAGATGACTGGGAGGACTGGGAGAAGTGGGAGGACTGGGAGGACTGGAAGGACTGGGGGAACTGGGAGGACTGGGAGGTATGAGGTGTAAAGACAGTGGGACCAGATGACTCAGCGTCACACAGTCAGAATTGACAGTAGCAAATCAACATGTGTTTGTGAGGTAAAACAATGAAGTGAATGATTGTGAGTGAAAGAGTGATGAACACAGACACAAAGGTCTCTTCAGGATCTGACTGTGAATCAAACACAGAGGACACAGAGGACACAGAGACACAGAGGACACAGAGACACAGAGACACAGAGGACACAGAGACACAGAGGACACAGAGACACAGAGGACACAGAGGACACATCACTTCATCATGTCTCTACATGTCTCACAGTCTGTGGGACAAGAAGGCTCCAGATCTGCTCACTGACTACTTGCTGCCTACTGATTTGCTCTGTAACCTGAGAAGGGAGGCGGGCCCTCGGTGGCTGATACAGACATGTTGGCTCCTATTGGCTGAAGTGAGGTGTCAATGAAAAGGTCAGGAGGTCACCTCCATTTTGGCAGCTAGCAGTCGATATGTTTAGACAGACAGGACAGAAGACATGATGACAGAATAAGGAGACATATGAAGGGTTGAAAGGAGGCAGCAGCGGTTGGTGGATATCTGTGGATGTGATCATGTGATTGGACCAAATATTTGACAGGATTTAGATTGTCCGGACTGTTGTCAGTATGTTTTAATATTACTGATCTGTGGGTTATGATAACACTTTATAGGAGAGTAATAATTGTTTGTTTGTCTGACAGGTGTTTATTGTGGTGGTTGTATCTTGAAATGTTCCGTGTTAATGGAACCACGAGGAGCAAAGCTTTCAGATGATTTGTCGGATGGGTAAATACAGCTGCTGTTTATGTGTCATCTGATAAACCATACGAGGGCCCACAGGAGGGCTGTCGGATTAATGATAATACTTATACTGATACTGATGATGTTACCTGAAGCCCTTCCAGACATCCAACCAGCTGGCTCTAACCACGGCGCCCTGTGGAGATGAACTCCCGCTGCCGCCCTTCTTCCTGGACACTCTGATGGTCGCCGCCCTGCAGGACAAACAGCAGAATTCTGATACAGAAACACCTGTAGACTCTAAACAATCCCGGGCCTGAGTGTTGGCTGAACATAACCACATGCTTTTATTTTGAAAGAGACTGTATCAAACTGTACATTTCCTGTGAAAACAGAAGTGTATTTTGAAAACAGACAATGCATGTAACAGGCTGAAGTTGACACGGCGTCCCAGAACGTCAACAACCAACACACCCAGGGTACCTTGGACGTCATATGTGGACGTGGAAAGTCCATGACCAAACGTGGACATGTGACGAGGTCACAGTGAGGATGATGATGGTGAATGTGACTCTGTGTGTGTGTGTGTGTGTGTGTGTGTGTTTGTGTGTTTGCAGGTGTACCGCGGGGTCTTCTGTTTCACAGGCTTTGCTGATTGTCTGGGAGGATGAGGAGGAGGCGGGGCTGGTCGAGTGGGGACGATCCGATTGGTCGGGATGCTGCAGAACACAATCAGTCATGAGTCGGCAGCAGGACGCAGCAGCAGGTAGTGCAGTACTTTATACTCACCTGTTGGTGTTTGAAGATGGGTCAGAAGCAGGATCCTCACTCACTGGTCCATCAGCACCAGAGGGGGCGTGGCCAGCGCCTGTGTCTTCATCCTCATTGGATGAGTCAGTGTCAGGTTCCTCTTGACTCGCCCAGCTCGCCAATATGGTGACGTACGGGTTCTCTTCTCTGGGGGTGTGAGGAGGCTGTTTGACACCTGCAACCAGGAAAGGAGGAGAAGATGAGACTGAGGAGGAGCAGAAGGAGGAGCAGGAGAAGGTGGAGGAGGAGGAGGAGGAGGAGGAGGAGGAGGAGGAGCAGGAGGAGGAACAAGTGGTGCTTCTCAGAGTCAAGGATCCTTAAACGTCCGAATTTCCATCATTGAATCGATGGACCAATGTGACATCAAGGGTCCTTTGAAGTGTCCTTCTTTCGTCTCGTCTCTGTACTTGTTTTATTAGATCTTAGTGCGGCGTTTGACACAATTGACCATCAAATTCTACTGCAGAAACTGGATCACTTAATTGGCCTAAAAGGTTCTGCACTAAGCTGGTTTAAATCTTATTTATCTGATTGTTTTCAGTTTGTTGACGTTCATAATGAATCATCCTTAAGTACCAAAGTTTGTTTTGGAGTTCCGCAAGGTTCTGTGCTCGGACCAATCCTATTTACTCTATATATGCTTCTTTTAGGTAACATCATTAGAAATCACTCTATAAATTTCCATTGTTATGCGGATGATACTCAGTTGTATTTATCTATGAAGCCAGAAGAAAGTAATCAATTAACTAAACTCCATAACTGCCTTAAAGACATAAAAACTTGGATGAGCACCAATTTCCTGATGTTAAATTCAGACAAAACTGAAGTTATTGTTCTTGGCCCCAAACAACTCAGAGACTCTTTATTTGATGACATAGTTTCTCTAGATGGCATTGCTCTGGCCTCTAGCACTACCGTAAGAAACCTCGGAGTAATATTTGATCAAGATTTGTCTTTTAATTCTCATTCTCATTCTCCTCAGTTGCTCTTCCTGAGGTTTCTACCGTTTTTTCCCCGTTAAAGGGTTTTTTTGGGGAGTTTTTCCTGATCAGCTGTGAGGGTCATAAGGACAGAGGGATGTCGTATGCTGTAAAGCCCTGTGAGGCAAATTGTGATTTGTGATATTGGGTTTTATAAATAAAATTGATTGATTGATTGATTGATTCAGAGAATTTACAAGGACATGTGTGTGTCCTCAGCCGACAGGAAGTACCCATAATTCTTTGTGCACGATTTGCCTGAATTCAAAGCAGAGCCTCTTTAGTGACTCACAACTGGGCCCACGTTAACCTGGGTCCATCATGCGTTCACTTAACGTTAGGAAGGAGTCTCACCGAGACTCTGTAGAACCCTTTTTAGGTAGGAAGAATCCCTCCTACCTAGGAAGCATCCTTGACCTTGAGAAGCTTTGAGAGTTAATCCCTTCAGTACCTTCCTCTGGTGGCTCAGCTGCTCCCTCTAGAGGAGGTAACGTGACTCCTGCATTTTGGTCTAACGCTGACATCACCAGCTGTGACAGCGCTCCCACATCTGGACACACAAACACAGACAACACATTTGTTTCCTGCTGTAAAGATTAATCGATCAGTTCTTTGATTAATCACCGATTGATCTGATCATCAGTTCATCAGTTTTTTTATTTAACAAAGAGTCAAATATTCAGATTTAATGTGAATATTTTCTGGTTTCTTTGCAACACTGAACTGAACGTCTCTGAGGACAAATCAGGACGCTGATCCATCCATCATGGAACTGATCGATCTATCATGGAACTGATCGATCCATCGTGGTAGTGATCGACAGACGAATCAATAATGAAAACAATTTTTAGTTTCAGCCTCAGTTTTGAGCCGTCAAGCTTTAATCTGCTGAAAGAGTTAAAAACTGACCTGAGAGCAGTTTCATACAATAACAGGGACGCAGACTTTGGGGGTTCGTGAAGGACTCTCAGTCTCATCCCGTCAAACATGTCGCTACGTCAGACGTCTCAGCGCCAGACTGCGACACTGCGGCAGATTGTGACGCTGCCCTCAAAGGGCCGTGATATAAAGACCGAGACAGTGCGTACAGGTCAGGTGGGAGCGGAGGTGACCGGTTGAAACAAACTCTGAACTTTCAACAAGAAGCTCGCTGTTCACTTCCTGTCAAACTAAAAGTCACTCCAGCCATTTTAATAACAACGTAGAGTGGCAGTACGTGTAGCATGCTACGCTAGTGATGACACGGTGACAACCATCGTTTTTTTAAACCAAACCATGAAGTATTTTTGTTTGTTTGTTTGTTTTTTTAACCAGTCAGGTGCTTCCATGTTTAAACATCAGGAAATCAACCTAAAAACAAAAAGTTTAACCTACAGTCAGAGTTTATTTTGAAAAAGATTGTACACAGAAACTGTCTACTTCCTGTCAATACTAAACTTCATTTTGAAATGCCACAGTGAATGTAACAAGTGCAAATTAATACGCCATCCCTGAATGTCCTGAACTGAAGCAGGACAGAGCGTCATACACTGCCTGGCCAAAAAAAAAGTCGCCACCTGGATTTAACTAAGCAAATAGGTACGAGCCTCCTATTGGATAATTACTGCATGGGCGATTATCTTTCAGCTGGCAACAAGTTATTTAACCCCAACTGGTGCAATGAGTTGCTTCTCATTTCCTAAACAACCATGTCGAAAGACACATCCCGTGGTCGTGGAAAAGATGTTAGTCTGTTTGAGAAGGGTCAAATCATTGGCATGCATCAAGCAGAGAAAACATCTAAGGAGATTGCAGAAACTACTAAAATTGGGTTAAGAACTGTCCAACGCATTATTAAAAACTGGAAGGATAGTGGGGACCCATCGTCTTCGAGGAAGAAATGTGGCCGGAAAAAAATCCTCAATGATCGTGATCGGCGATCACTTAAACGTTTGGTGAGATCAAATCGAAGAAAAACAACAGTAGAACTCAGGGCTATGTTTAATAGTGAAAGTAAGAGCATTTCCACACGCACAATGCGAAGGGAACTCAAGGGATTGGGACTGAACAGCTGTGTAGCCTTAAGAAAACCACTAATCAGTGAGGCTAACCGGAAAAAAAGGCTTCAATTTGCTAGGGAGCATAAAGATTGGACTCTGGAGCAATGGAAGAAGGTCATGTGGTCTGATGAGTCCAGATTTACCCTGTTCCAGAGTGATGGGCGCATCAGGGTAAGAAGAGAGGCAGATGAAGTGATGCACCCATCATGCCTAGTGCCTACTGTACAAGCCTGTGGGGGCAGTGTTATGATCTGGGGTTGCTGCAGTTGGTCAGGTCTAGGTTCAGCAACAGTATGTGCTCAAAGAATGAGGTCAGCTGACTACCTGAATATACTGAATGACCAGGTTATTCCATCAATGGATTTTTTCTTCCCTGATGGCACGGGCATATTCCAAGATGACAATGCCAGGATTCATCGGGCTCAAATTGTGAAAGACTGGTTCAGGGAGCATGAGACATCATTTTCACACATGGATTGGCCACCACAGAGTCCAGACCTTAACCCCATTGAGAATCTTTGGGATGTGCTGGAGAAGGCTTTGCGCAGCGGTCAGACTCTACCATCATCAATGCAAGATCTTGGTGAAAAATTAATGCAACACTGGATGGAAATAAATCTTGTGACATTGCAGAAGCTTATCGAAACAATGCCACAGCGAATGCGTGCCGTAATCAAAGCTAAAGGCGGTCCAACGAAATATTAGAGTGTATGACCTTTTTTTTTGGTGGTGACTTTTTTTTTGGCCAGGCAGTGTATTTAGACGTGTTGGTCTCTGACAAAGTGACGGTATTTGGCAAGTTGAGACGAGAACATGTTGGTTCCCCCAAAATAAAACTGTTAAGGAAGAAGAAAGACAGCAGTGCCTCCGTCTGATTGGCCGACGGCTGTACCTGTGTGAGTGGCTCCAATCCTTGGCAGTGACGGGGGTCGGGGTTTACCAGCTGTGGGGGGCGGGGCTGACGGGGTGGCCATAGTCACATCGGTGCTAACAGCAGGGTTAGCCACACTGCTAACAATCCCTGCTAGCATGGGTATGTTAGCTAATGAGCTCACAATGTTGTCTAAGCTAACAGCATCAGCAGCAGGTGCAGGTGTGGCGGTGGAGGCAGAGTTTAACGGAGCAGTGGCAGCACCTGGGTTAGCCACAGTGCTAGCAGTTCCTGCTAAGCTAGGTATGTGGCTGGCGATGCTGTTAGCCACACTGTCTAAGGACGGGGGGGGTGGGGGGGCTGAGGGGGTGGGGGGGCTGCGGGCGGAGCCTCCAATGGCGGTGGCAAATCCAGCCAATGACGGGATACTGGTGGCGATGATGTCAGTGACTCCGGGGGGGGGGGGGGGGGGCTGCGGGCGGAGCCTCCAATGGCGGTGGCAAATCCAGCCAATGACGGGATACTGGTGGCGATGATGTCAGTGACTCCGGCCAGAGATGGGAAGACAGTGCCACAGACAGGAGGAGGAGCATCTACACCTGAGGAGGAGGACACAGTGACATCATCATCATCATCATCAATCAAACACAGCTGCAGTTCCTCTGATGTCCACTAGGAGATGATCACACTGAAAACAAACACAGGAAGTACAGTTTTTTTTCAATAAGATTCTTATTAAAGAGGGGAGACTTTCAAAGTTAATGTTACTAAATAAATAAATGTTTGATTCAGAGTCAAACAGGAAGTGGAGGTTCACTGAATTCATGTGACTTTGCCTCTCTTTAACATCACCAGTTAGACTGGTTTGACATAATCACCAGCTGCTTCACAACAACACGGACAAACTGGTTCTACTGAAAACACAACACGCTGCAACACGTCAGCACAGTCAGCATGTCACCAACACGCCACCAACACGCCACCAACACGCCTGACCTCAGATCAGTTTAGTAAACTGTCTGCCCACAGACGGTTAGACTCAGATCACTCCTCAAACATCCTCACTGTGACCTCGTCACATGTCCACGTTTGGTCATGGACTTTCCACGTCCACATATGACGTCCAAGGTACCCTGGGTGTGTTGGTTGTTGACGTTCTGGGACGCCGTGTCAACTTCAGCCTGATTCAATGCATTGTCTGTTTTCAAAATACACTTCTGTTTTCACAGGAAATGTACAGTTTGATACAGTCTCTTTCAAAATAAAAGCACTACGTTAGTACAACACCACCAACTGATGTTTTTTTCCTTCAGCAACACACACGTGGTTACGTTTAGCCAACACACACACGTGGTTACGTTTAGCCGACACACACACACGTGGTTACATTTAGCCAACACACACACACATATGGTTACGTTTAGCCAACACACACACACATGTGGTTACGTTTAGCCGACACACACACACATGGTTACATTTAGCCGACACACACACACGTGGTTACGTTTAGCCAACACACACACGTGGTTATGTTTAGCC